GCGTGTCAGCATTTTGGAAAACCCTAACTTAACTCTGGTGCCGTGTCACATATAGAAATTTTTTGATATTTGCAACCATAGTAAAACAAAGACTTATATTTTTGATATTTATTTTATATATTTAAATGCCATTTAACAAAGAAAAATCAACCAAAAAAATGAGTTTGCGTGTCACCTCTGACACGCGTGTCATAGGTTCGCCATCACTGACCTGGGGGGACTTTCAGTAAATGTGCAGGGAGAGGATAGTGAGAGATGCGGGAAGCGTACAAATGGCATTAAACATTGTGAGGAGCCTCTGAAAGTTGGTGCCCTGTAATTTCTCAGCAGCTTGGAAACGGTGTGCCGTCCCTGTGACTTCTTTGGTTCCCCCGAGCAGACTATTCTGGGGTTTTCCCTGCCCAGGCAGCATGTAGCAGGCACATGGCCAGTTCTGCCTCCTCTCCTTTTCCTTGTGGCACAGATGTGGGGTTTATCAGTTCTGTCATCTTCTCCAGGGACCTGCGAAGGTCTTTGCCAAGTCACAGTCATTAGAAGCAGGAACCCCCCAGCCCACCTGGCGAAGAAAAGGGGGCGGGGGACGCAGTCCAAGGCTGCAGTCCTTATGGGGAGCAGAACTCCAGCAGGTTTGCTGCTTCCTCTGGCAGTTCACATCGAGTCTCCTGCAGCGCGGCACCCACTTGTCACAGGGTCCCACCTCCACCCTACACGTCCCAGGGGATTTCTGGCTGCAAAAAAAGTATACAACTTAGACATCTTCCCTGGCCTTAGAATCATGAACACTGGAGCTGAAAGGAATATTAAAGAGCATCTGAGCCTGTCACTCCCAGCACAGTCCACATATATATGACCTCAAAGTCATTTGGGGCACATGAAAAATACAGATCCCTGATGGCTGCCACCAAGATTCGGACCCAGTAGGGCTGAGTGGGCCCAGGAATCTGCATTTTCACAGGCAAAGCACAGTGGATTTGTAGGGGAGTGAAACTAAACTGTATAAAATTATATAGGCAGATCCATTTGTCCAATGCAAAGAATGTACAACACCAAAGAGTGAACCCTAATGTAAACTGTGGACTTCGGGTGGTGATGACATGTCAGTGTTATCGATTGCAACTAACGTACCACTTTGGTGGGGGATGTTGATACTGGGGGAGGCTGTGCATGTGTGGGGGTTGGGGGTGGGGAACCTCTGTACCCTCCTGTCCATTTTGCTGTGAACCTAAAAGTGCTCTTAAAAGAGGGGGGCTGGATGAAAAAGGTGAGGATTAAGAAGTACACATTGGTAGTTAAAAAATATTCACAGGAACATTCACAATTCATAGGGGAGATTGTCAATGTTATTGTAATAACTGTGTATGGTGCCAGGTGGGCAATGGAAATACCGGGGGAGCACTTTGTCGAGTGCTGTACACCTGAAACGAATACAAATAATAGTTAATGTAAACTGTAATCTAAAAAAAAGAAAGAAAATAAATTCTATTGAAAGAAAATAGGACAAAAACAGATCCAGAAACAGAGAAGCATCGATCAGACCGTCAAACCTCAGAGGGAAGTTAGGGGAGGGTGGGGGTAAGGGGGAGAGATCAACCAAAGGACTTGTATGCATGCATATAAGCCCAAACAATGGACACAGACACCAGGGCGGTGAGGGCATGAGTGGGGGGTGGGGGGCAATGGGGGGATAAGGACACATACAGTATGTAATACCTTAATCAATAAAGAAAACAAAATAAGAGGGGGAGAGAAGGAGGCTGATAAAGGGCAGTGGCCACCCAGCATGGTTTCTGCTGGTCACGGTTTGGGTCATGGCTGTAGCCCCAGCCCCTCTTCCCTGGGCAGGAGGGGTTGGTAGAGGGGAGTCAGGGAAGATCCCTGGAGGTAAGCGAGGCGGGCGGGGTATATCCACGGCAGAGGAGTGACTGTGGGCTGCTCCCAACAGGTGGCCTGGAGTCCCTGATGATCCGGCTGGTGAATGGCTCGGGCCCACACGAGGGCCGAGTGGAGGTGTACCACGAGCGGCGCTGGGGCACCGTGTGCGATGACGGCTGGGACAAGAAGGACGGGGACGTGGTGTGCCGCATGCTGGGCTTCCGCGGCGCACAGGAGGTGGCCCGGACCGCTCGATTCGGGCAAGGTAAGGCGCTCCGGAGGAAAAGGCCACGGGGAAAAGGCCCGGGAATCCTAGGACTGGTCTCCTCGCCAATACTCAAGTCCCCTCTGCAGCCCTCCTGCCATGGCCCCCTGTCCTCTGCCCAGATAGCAGCTCTCTGTCCCCCAGGCAAGCCGGCCTGTCTTCGGACAGTGCTGACCGGCTGCAGGGACTTGTCCAGGAAGATACATGAGAGGAGGGGCCACATCCTGTCCAGATAGGGAAACAGAGCCAGGTCCCATCCAGACTGGCCATGGAGCCCTCCACGGCTCACAGCTGCCGCCTCCCCCCCGCCTCGATGGACTGCTGCCGTTCTTGCTCAGCATCGCGTCCCTTAGACCTCAGTCACTGCTGTGGACTGAATATTTGTGTCTCCCCCAAACTCATGTGCTGAAATGCTAATCCCCAACGTGGTCGTAGGAGCGGGGCCTCTGGGAGGTGATTGGTCACGGGTGGAGCCTTCTGATGGGATTAGTGCCCTTATAAAGGGGACCCCTAAGAGCTCCCTCCTCCTCCTCCTGTGAGGAGACACAGAGAAATCTAAGCCCCAAAGGGGGCCCTCACCAGGACCCGCCGTGCTGGCTCCTGGCCTCCGACCTCCAGCATCTGGAACTGGGAGAAATAAATGCCTGTTGTTCGTAAGCCAGCCATCGACGGGGCTTTGCCACAGCAGCCGGGCCGGCTAAGACAGTCGCACTGACCGAAAGTGGCTCTTGGTGAAATCTGTTGTGACAGCTGGCGGGGTGCGGCCACTTGACCCCACACATACTAGCCTCCCTACTTCAAAGGCCAGCGTGCGCAGGGGCTCAGAGGGCCCCGCCCAGGAGGGCAGCCCACCGGGCCGCCGGTCAGAGCACTGACCTCCCACTTAACACTTGGGGCTGAATTTCAGCCTGTTTTCTTTAAGAAAAATTGCCATTTTTTGGTTGCATAAGGAACAGAAATAGTAGGGACAGTCCTCATTGTCAGTGTTTGAGTCTAATGAGGACTTGTTCCTAATAAGTGGAAGTAAAACATTATTTTGTGGGGGAGGATGATAAACTTTTAGAGAAGCCGAAATAGGCCATTTGGATGTCATGGGCAGCGTTAGCCTAAAACAGACTTTGTGGCCTTTTTCATTCCCTCTTGATTTTTATAACGTGTGACACATGGAGAAGTCCTAAACTTGCAATTTGATTCTTTAAACCTGTCAATGGGGAACTGGGCTTGCTTCTAGGCATGCATCACATTTACACCATGTTTTCCCCATTGTGGTCCAGCAACTAATGTCATGTGATATTCAAGACCTTGCCAGGTAGGCAGGCCAGGCGATATGAATGGGAGCACAGAAGGAGACGGGAGCCTGGGGTGGGGAGGAGACCCAGCAGCCCAGCCTGTTGGGCGCCCTTTCTCCAAGCTCAGGCTGCGCTCCCTCCTCCTCCTCCTCCTCCTCCTCCTCCTCCTTCTTCTTCTTCTTCTCCTTCTCCTTCTCCTTCTCCTTCTCCTCCTTCTCCTTCTCCTCCTTCTCCTTCTCCTCCTTCTCCTTCCTCTTCCTCTTCCTCTTCCCCTTCCCCTTCCCCTTCCCCCTCCCCCTCCCCCTCCCCCTCTCCTTCTTCTTT